AAAAAAAAAGAGCAGATCAATATGTTTCAGAAAACCTTTTATTCAAAACTAACAATATGCACACAAAATGGAGTGGGGGGAAAAAGTCAGCTAAGCCTTGCCTACGTAAACAAAAACCTTCTGAACCTTCTAGAGATCGCTTGAGCACTTCTTTCAAAATGCAACCGGGGATGATTTTTCATTTCACCAGCCTCTACCTTCCTTACGATTTCCCTTTCGGTGGCTAGACTTATAGATCGATGCTTCTTTAACAAGTTTATTGTGACCCCATACATTTCATAGGGTTTATTCCAGCCAGCATTTCCTATAGTTTGCTGTCCAAGGTCCTTTTGACACCTCTTTCCACTTTTGACACCTCTTTCCATTGCTATAGTCTTCCTTGACCTCATGCAATACAGAATCACACCTAATCTTTTGTTATCAAGCAATGGGTCTTAGCCTTTGGCTCTCCAGATGTTTTCGGCCAGTCTTTTTCAAGCTATCTGATGTGGCAGACCAGCATATTTTACTCCCTGTGTGCCAAGGACCAGTACTATATTTATACCCATTGGCTACAATTATTCTTTCCTGAAAACTCTATAGGGATTGGCACCTGATGGCTTGCGGACCAACTCCGGTCCATGGATCACCACTTTTGAATCGCTCTGTTATGGACTTCAGTTCCCATAATCCCTGGCCATTAGCCAAGCTAGTTGGTGCTGCTGGGAGCTGAAGTCCAAAACATGTCAAGGATGTTGGTACTGTTTCAGGCCTCTTCCCTTTGACCTTCATCCATATACTTTTCATGGAATACACACAGAGGATGCAAAAGTGGTCTGTCATCTTTAGTTGTTTTTTTTTTTTTTGGAAACATAAACAATTCTGCCCTAGCTGAGCCAGCAGTAGACCTGGTATAAGGCAATCTCCTATGTTCTTAGACCTCCTGTGTATCCAATCCATCAGACGTCATCTGAGATTCTTGCTATGAAGGCTCTTAGGATCTGGAGGCAACATACAAGACATCAATTATTCTATCTCCAGCAGTGGCCATCCCGATTTTTTCATGAAACACACACAGAGGATGCAAAAGTGATCTGTCATCTTTAGTTTTTTGGAAACGTAGACCAGGATCCTATTACACTTCACAGTGCCCCACTGCACAAACTATTGGATGTCATACTGGCTTGCAGAAGGAGGCTTCTGAAACCATTTTATGTAAGCATTATCCTAAATCAGGGGTAGGCAACCTTTTTGAGCCGGGGGCCGGGTTGCTGTCCCTCAGACAATTGATGGGCCGAAGCACCAAAAATAAATAAATAAATAAATAAATAAAAATTAAAATTAAAAAAGAATTAAAAAATTTAAAAAATGCATGCACACTCTCTCAGCCCCAGAAAAGCCATGGCAAAACCCCTGTGAAGATTTTGCCAAGAAAACCCCAAGAACAAGTAATAACAACAATAATCAATATCATCATGGGGGGGCGGCGGCGGTGGGGGGGCGGCGGCGGCAGGACCGGTGTGGGGCCGGTCCAAAGGCCTTGCTGGGCCGCATCCGGCCCCCGGGCCTTAGGTTGCCTACCCCTGTCCTAAATTTTTGCAATGGTTTTCAACAAACCTGGAATGGTCCACATCACCACCTCCCTTCCATCCAGGTCTGGCTGTCTTGGTTTCCTGAACAGTCCTACATCTCCCTGGCTGTGAGTTTTAAAGGTCCTTTTCCCTGAACTGCAAATCCCAGGATTCCATATTATAGAACCAGAGCAATAAAGGTATATCATAGCAGTATATTAGCATAGTGTAAAAGAGCTCCAGATCGCTAAGTAAGTGGCAAGTTATTTCATCCTCAAATGTCTTTTCTATCTGTACCTGGAGAGTCTGGGGACAGAACCTGGGACTTTTGCATGCAAAACACTTGTTCTAACTATTCTAACTCCTTCTTCTGTTCATCTTTGGGTGCTTGCCCAAATTTCATCGAGAGCAGGGTGTCCTCTCTTCTTTTTATCAAAACAACTTTGCTTTAAAAAAAAAAAACACCCATGTCTTTTCTTCCTCCTGCCTGCCACTTATAAATAGCATTTGGAAACTCTTGTGGCTTAAAGCAAAAATTTAAATTAAATTAAAAAATTGTCTTGCACGGGGTGTGTCAAAACAGAGGAACATTTTAAGCCTGAAATCTAGGAAATTTTGGCAGGGGCTTCTGATGACATCTTAACTTTAAGGTTGCAGCAGGTAGCCATATGTGTCTTTCTCCTTTGAAAAGCTCTGGCGTAAGTATATGGAGCCTCGAATTGGATTGGGATCCCTTCCTGTGCAAGTGCATTTAATACAGCACATTGTTAAACCATCTTCTGCATCAAATAGGATGAGAATTTAAAGGAGGCGGCTGCATTGCTTTTATTTTCTTAGCATCCAGCCATTTGCTGTTGTGTGCCTTCAAGTCATTTCCAACTTATGGCGACATTAAGGTGAACCTATCATGGGGTTTTCTTGGCCAGATTTGTTCAGAGGAGATCCTAATTGTAGCTCTTTGATATACCACTTTAGCAGCCATGACCCTTTCCTATGAAATTCTGGGATTTGTAGTTTGGTGAGGCACTTAGAAGTCTCTGCTGCCAGATAGGGTAGCACAACAGAGCTCTCTAAGGGGGGTTGCAGACTGCCAGAAATAGTGCAAATTGAGTCCACTTTTAGGTTTAGGGTTAGGGTTATGGAATCATGGGAACTGTATTTTATTGTGGCACCAGAGCTCTCTGACAGAGAAGGCTCAATGTCTCAGAAAAAAAACAATTCCCATGATTCCCTAGCACTAACCCTAACCCTAAAAGTGGACTCAATTTGCACTATTTCTGGCAGTCTGCAAAGGCCAGTTAGCAAATTGGTTATGAAGTATATATGCCACTGGTATGTGAGAATGTCCATTCAAATTCCAAATCCTGTAGTAGCAAGTCCAGTTTTAATGATGGTCATTGGTGAACAAAGACATTGGGAACTGACCAATGTGTATAGATAGATGATTCTTCTACAAACTGAGTCTACAAGATCTCTCTACATACTGATTCTACAGACGAACACAGCTATATCTTCAAGTTCCAAGTGTAAAAGTAATTTGCACTCAGTTATCTCAGAGGAGAGATGGCCGGCACAGTCTGGGCTTCCCAGTGGACTCAGGCAAAAGCAAACCGCTGCAGCCATT